AAAGGATTCCCGCTCCTCGGGAAAGTTGGACAATGGTGGGGATGCCGGGACAGTGGTGGGGAAGGTGGTGGTGGTGGGGACAGTGGTGTGGGGACTGTGGGACAGTGGTGCGGACAGTGGCGGGGACGGTGTGGTGGGGACAGTGGGACAGTGGTGGTGACAGTGGTGGTGGGGACAGTGGTGAGGGTGGTGGCGATGACGGTGGTGGGACAATGTGACAGAAGTGCAGTGGGGATAGTGGTGGGGACAGTGGGGACAGCGGTGGGAACAGTAGGACAGCTCAGTGGGACAGCGGCGGGGACAGTGGGGCAGAGGGACAGTGGTGGGGACCGTGGGGAAAGTGAGGAGAGTGGAACCGTGGTGGGAACAGTGGTGGGGACAGTGGGGCCAGTGGGACAGTGGGGGCACTGGTAGGGACAGTGGGGACGTGTGAAATTCAGCACCAGTTTGACGACCCCCTGGGAGTCAGAGGCGAACAGAAAACTGCGGCAGGGGGAGGGGGGAAGGCTTCTTCGAAGGAGACTGCTTCTTAGAAAGCTCCAGCCTTACATCTACAGACAAGGCCCGCGCCTTCTAAGAAGCATGAGTGCCTCTAAGAACCCTTCCTCCCTCCCCCTACCCGACGTCTGGTGGCCGAGACATCGAGCCCGGACGCCTACGGCGAGGGCATTGAATAGGGAATCATTGGGTAAGAAATCCAGGGTGTGGAAGCCAGGGGATCTCCAATAGTGGGTTGGCCATGGACATCACCGCCGTCCTCATCAAATAAGGAACCGTCCAGGGTATCGCCCCCTTGGGGAAACTAACAGGTATCGATACCGCTACTCCCTGGACTTCTTCTGCGGTTTATTATGACCAGGATCTCGAGGCGAATCCAGAGGTGGCGACGAGGGCCTCTGAGGAGGCAGACAAATGGGAAAATGGGGGAAGGGCAGCGGCATCGGCATCTTTTCTTCCTCCGACTCGTGGGCACATTCCTTAACGAACGCCCCTCCCCCCTGCTGAGGACGGGCCGTTGCAACCAGGCCTGCACCCCTGCAAGGCCACCTTCCACGACACACAGCGCTCGTCAGGCCAAAATGCATCCACGTGGTCTCCTCGTGGCCGCTCGCCCCAGAGGCTTGGCCGCGGTAGCACCACGGGCCCTGTCAGACTACAGCGGAAAATATGATGAAGAACACTATCATTTCAGAAATACGGGCCAACTCCCCGAAGTGGTTTAAGACAAGCCTGGGCATATTTCTGTTGTTCACGCTGGAGGGGCGGACGTCCTCAAGAAATGGGCCACCCTTACGGCTGGTTGGTTAAGAACCGCTGGCCCAGCTTCTCGGGAGGCGGTGTCTTACTCAGATGATAGACTGTGTGTGCTTCACGGGCCGACTCTAGTTAGTTCTCGAGGAGGGGGAGGAGGAGGAGGAGGAGGAGGAGGAGGAGGAGGAAGAGGAGGGGGGAGGGAGGAGGAGGAGGAGGAGGAGAAGGAGGAGGGGGAGGAGGAGGAGGAGGAGTAGGAGGGGGAGGAGGAAGAGGAGGAGGAGGAGAAGGAGGAGGAAGCGGAGGTGAAGGAGGGAGGGGAAGGCTTCTTAGAAGGAAGCTGCTTCTAATGACGAACCAACAACACACACCCATACCCATAGGGGGATCGGAGAGGGCTATGGGTGCGTGTTGTCGGATGGGGGTCCCCGCTCGAACGGGAGCGTTCCCCAGGGTCCGACATCTCGCACCCATACCCATAGCCAGTCCTCCTCCCAACGACCTCCCTATGGGTATGGGTGTGTGTCGTTCGTTCGTCCTCTAAGAAGCCTTCCCCCCTCCCCCTACCCCCGTCTGCGCGTGGCCGATGACTCCCCCCTCCCCCACCCGCGAGGGCGGGGCCGTGCGCAGCGCCTCCGCCCGCGCGAGATTGGCGCGCTCGGCAGGGCCCGGCCGCACGGCCGCCGCCTGCCCTCCCTGCCGTCGGCCCGCCCCCTGCCCTCCCCAGACAGGGCCGCGCCGCGGACCAAAATCACCGCGGGGGGCTCTTGCCCATCTGCGGCCTCAGGGAGCCCTCGCCGAGCCCCGGCACCGTCAAAAACCAACAAAGGAAAGGTCCCGGGGAAGGGTCCCATACCCATCGGTCGGAAGAAGTAGGTAGAAACATGAAGTAGGAAGGCGTTGGAAATAGATTGGGGTTCCGCCCGCCTCCTGAAGAGGAGGGAAGAGGGAAACCCCCTCGACTCTTGAAGTAGGAAGGCGCTGAAAGTAGATTGGAATCTGGGAATCCAAAAATACCTACTTTCAACGACCGATGGGTACCCCTGGGGGTCGACAGTATGAAAAAATCGGGACGTCGCACTTTTCTGGGCCCGGCGCTCCCACTCTCTCTGCGTGGGCCCCCGGGGGGTCTGGGCCACCGCCCAGGGGTCGGCTTCTCGTCCTGGGTCGTTTTCGAACGGTCCCGGGGCCCGGCGAGGGCCGAACGTAGCCCACAAAAAAAGGGCTGCTCCGATGTTTTCGGAGCGTCGGCTCCCAGTGTCGTGTCCAGCTCTGTTGACTTCTGCTTGCTGCCTGGCCCCACGTTTAGAGACATCAGGCCCTGGCCGGCCCCCCCGCCACAGGCTGGGAGGCGAGGGCGTGCTAGGGCTTCACCGACAGAGCCTCGCCCCCACGGCAACAGAGCCCCACACCACAGATGCCCGTGCGACCGAGCGATCGACAAACACATCGGGCAGGTACTCCGAGAAACACTGGCTCTTTCTCGTCGGGGTAGTTGGCTGCGGCATGGAGGCCTCGACGGCGGCGACGGCGTCGAACCAGGAAACCCCGAACCCAAAAATGTTAGGTCGGGCATGTCCTCCTACAGGCGGATGTCGGAGGGAAAACAGCAAATTGTCAAAACAGATTCAAACATATGTTTTCTCAATGTCCCCCGAGCCCCCCACACACACTGGACATAGAGGACAGACTGAGGCCTTCGGGTTGGGTTGGGGTGGTTTGGTGGGTGGTGATTTTGGAGCGCCTCAGACCTGATGAATCGTCCACTTCCCATCGGGGCGCTGCCACCCCCCCCAAGGCATTTCTGAATCGCTCGGTCGCGTGGAGCACCCAAACACACAACGTCCAATCGCATGAGCATGCCGAGCTTCCACCACCCTCCGCACCCTTGTCTTCAGGCGAAGCCAGGACGAGGATAACATCGGGTGAGGATAAATCGAGAATCTCTGAGATCTAGCGGCCCTGGAGGATGTCTCGGGCGCCGCGGCCTTCTCCGAGCGTTCTGGAACGCTCTGAGAGCGCTCCAGAACGCTCTGGAACAGATAAATCCTCGCCCGAGCCCCCTCCGACGGGAGGCAGCAACACGGGCCGGAGCTCTGAAAGAATCAGGCGAAACGTCCGCCGATCTCTTCGGCAATCCCAAACAAAACGCTCAGGAGAGCCAGCCAACAGGCTCCCCGAAGTTCTGAGACATCCCTTCCGACTAGAGCACCTGCCCATGCACAGACGGCATCTATCAGGCCGATTCCAGAAACCCTGAAATCATATCCCTTAGGGGGTGCACATGTTGACACCGCCAGCTTCCGCCAGCCTTCCGCCGGCCTCCGCCAGCGGAGGCGACATCGTTTTACTTCGGCGGGCTTCCGCCACCCTGCCACCGCTTGCTCGCCATCGCTCGGGCGAGCATTCGTCGGTTCCGTGCGTGTACTTTCTCGCAAGAGATGGCCAAGAACGCTCCTCGATGGCCCCCTTCGAGAACAAATGCACACGTCCGAGCGATGCCCAAGCGTCCCGCCGAGGAAGAGGTGCAAACTCCTTCGATCCTCGAGGGCGGGGCCAGATCTGGAACGATAGGCCGGCTTTCCAGCACCACTACCATAGGTAGGAGAGTGAGGAGGAGGAGGAGGAGGAGGAGGAGGAGGAGGACCTCCCGACCTCCCCATCCTCCCTTCTCCCCCACCCTACGTATGGTAGTGGTGGTGGAAAAGCGGCCCATCATGGAACACCTCACATGCACACCACCATGCCTGGCCCAGGCCGTCCTGCGCCCCCAGCCAGGGCGCGCACGCCCCCTTACGTTGCATCTTCTCGGGGCCTTGTCTGTCCTATCGCGCACCTATTCGTGTCGAACCCTGGTCAAAAATCAGAACTGCGTCGAGCCCACGTCGAATCCATGTCATGTCGAATCCGCGCCGAACCCGTGCCGGCTCGAGCCGGGTGCAAGACAAAAGACTGCAATTGACAGGACAGACGAGGTCCCCCGAAGATGCATCGTAACCCCTCTGGGACGAAGCCGGGAGGCCCTACGGTCGGACCCAGGACAGGAGAACATCCGCCAGGAGCGTGAGACCCTCTGCAGGCCCACACTGAAGAGCATTCGAGGGTGCCCTCCCCCAGGATGCACGAGAGCATGCCGGGTACCCTCCCCGAGCCGACCTCGATCTGACACGTCTCGGTCCGGCCGTACGCACCATGCCGGGGCCAGGGTAGCCAGGATGGCCAGACATCGTGGTGCACGGATGCCTCCTGCAAATGCCCACGGCTCTCTCCTGCCGTGCCGACGAGGACGCCCGGCTCTTGCCACCGCGCAGGTCTCTCAATCCACAGCGATCTCAGCCATCGGACATCGCAGTTCGCTCGAGGGTGGCATGGTTCAGGCCGCTGGAGGCCTGCAACCTTGAGAGTTCATGTGCACAGTACGTCTCTGCTTCGACTCTTGAACGCCGCCGACGGTCGACGCATGCGTCGTGATTTAGCCACCTCATCCTTCTCCTCCTCCTCCTCCTCCTCCTCCTCCTCCTCCTCCTCCTCCTCCTCCTCCCCTCTCCTCCTCCTCCTCCCCCTCCTCCCTCCTCCCTCTCCCTCCTCCCCTCCCTCCCTCCACTTCCCTACCTCCCATAGAACCTCGCCTCCTCCCTTCCTCCATCCTCCCTCCTCCTCCTCCCTCCTCCCTCCTCTCCTCTCCCTCCTCCCCTCCTCCCGCCCTCCCTCCTTCCCCCCTCCTCCCTCCCTCCCTCCTCCTCCCTCCTCCCTCCTCCTCCTCCCTCCTCCCTCCTCCGTCCTCCCTCCTCAGGTGGCATTGGCGCCGCGGCCCCGCCCCCCGCAGCCGTTTTGCCTGCGGGCGTGCGCCGCGCCCGTGGCCATAACCCCCACGCCAGCTGCCCGCACGCCGCGGGCGCTCGTGCAGCATCCTGGAGCGCAGGTCGCGCTCCCGAGCCTGGCACCGCCGTGCTCGGCGGCAGCGAGCGCAGGCGCGGTCCGCCTTGCGCCTTGCGGCCGCTCGTGCCACGCTGGCAGGACATCACGGCGAACGTCCACGCGCTATCGTCGCCGCGGACATGTCCACGCCGCCCTGGCAAACCGCCACAGGTCAGCAGTGGGCGTGTGCCGCCACCAGTGCCTGCAGCTTCCGCACCAACTTTGTGCCGCGGACTACCTGCTACAAGTGCGGCCGCGACAAGCTCGGGCGGGCGCCGAAGGCTGAGGACGCTGCGCCCAGGACGCCTTCTACTCGTTCTGCCTCTGCTGGGCGGCGCCGCCGCGCTGCTGCTGGAGACGCTGGAGCCGCTGGGGCCTCTCCTGCTGCAGGTGCCGCCGAGCCCGCAGCCACCCCCTCGTTGCAGCGGGCGCGCCAGGGACCGCAGGCCCTTCGCAGCCTGCAGCACGGGAACGACCACCCGCGGGTCGCTGCAGCCCGCGACGACCTGGCACGCCCGGAGGCGGAGGAGCGCAAGGCCCAGCCTCCCGAGGTGCTCCTCTCTGGGTAGTCGAAGCCAATCTGGCGCCAGTCTGGCAGGCCCAGTCTGGCAAACGGGAGCAATCTGACGAGGGAGCCAACGCGAATCCAGTCTGGCGAATAACCCAACTCATCCAGTTTGGCCGGGCCAGATTGGCCCTGGGGGCCCAATCCAATCTGACAGTCTGGCCTTCGACTACCCAGCCTCTGCAGCCTGCAGAAGCGCCTCGACGACGCCACGGCCAACCGCGGCCAGACCACCGAGGCCGTGGCGCAGGCCACGGCGGAGGTCGAGCGCCTCACCACCCTGCTGGCCCAGCATGGCGCTGAGGCGGCCAGCATTGAGGCCGAGATGGAAGTTGCGCGCCGCGCCGTGGCGGCCACTGCGACCGCCCCCGCGGGCGACCTCGCTGGTCTCGCCACCGCGCTGGTCGGACTCCAGGCTCTCCTCGGCAGCACCCTGTCCACCGTGGCCAACGGTCAGGGCGTCAGGCTGCCGGAGGCCAGCAGCAGCCAGGTCCTGGCCACGGGTGCGGCCTTCCCAGTTCAGGCCTTGCAGGGAGCCCTCGGCGCGCCAGGAGCTGGCCAGGTCGCCCAGCCAGCCCCCCCCAGCCACCAGTGCCGCGCCCGCTGTCCCAGCGGCTGCGCCAGCGCCTGGAGGGCCTGCGGGCGCGCCTACTGCTGCTGCTGCCCCTGCTGCCGCTGGAGACAGGCTGCAGATGGTGGGGGCCGCTTTTCGCATCTCAGGAGACCCCGCGGCCAACCACTGGGAGCACGCGGGGATGGACGACTAGGCGACGAGGTCTTCGGCGTGCTGCTCACCAAGATGCGATGTTTGCCACCTACAACGGCTCGTCCAGGGGATCCTGCCGTGAATTTTTGACTGCGTGTGACTCCTCGGTTTTGGCTGTCGCTGCGCAAGAGCTCCGTATGGATGGGGATGGAGTTCTTCGCGCGCAGGGATGGGCAGCCCGATCAGGATGGCACGCCATTATATCTGTTTGCCACCGCTTTGAGTCTGGGCGGCCACCCGCTGGGGTTGGACTCTTTGCCGGGCGGCACATCAGCGTCACTGCGCTACCAGGTCTTGGCGCAGTTGGCTCCGACGAGTTGATTCTGGATTTCTGCGTTGCCTGCCACGCGGGTTTTGGGTATTCGAGCTGGGCCAGCGGGCGAATGGGAATGCCAGCAGGCTTGTCGACGTTTCACTGGCACTTCGTGGTTGGAATAAGCCGTTCGTGATGGCCGCTGACTTCAACTGCGACCTGTTGGATTTGGCGGACGTCGGTTACCTGGGCTACATCCCTGCACAGGCTGTCGCGCGAGCTCGCGCTCGAGACGCTACTGTGAGGACATGTCGGAGCCCGCAGGATAACTACTCCAACGTCGATTTCTGGCTGGTCAGCTTGTCCCTGGCTGGTTCGTTCACGGCTGCAAGGCCTGTCCCAGGATGGTCCGCCGCCCCGCGCCATCCCATGATGACCGCCCTAGCGGCGCGTGCCAAAGCGGCGAAGTTAACCGCGCTGGCAGGGCCTCGCGCCTTTCCGAGACAGGAGCCGCCTGAGGAGGCCATCCTGGTTGCTGACACCGGCCGCGTCGACCCCATTGAGGCCGACGTCGCTCATGGTGGTGAGGCAACACCCGCTGGAGCTCAGGCGCGGCTTGACGGGCTTTACACCGCCTTCATAAACTCAGCCGAGCAAGAGCTGGTCCACGCCTGCGGCCTCGAGAAGGACGCCTCCCGCTTCTTTGGGCGAGCTGTGCGTATCCAGTGCCGCCAGCGACGGGCAGGCGGCCCTCCTGCGGGCCCGCATCCTGCTGCTCCACCCGACGTTCGGCGCGCGCGGCGGCTTGCACAGGCCGTGTCCGACCTCCTGCTTCGTGATGACGTGCGCCCTGATGTCCTTCGGCGACTCGAGCGTCTGGTGTCCGCTGGTGCCGAGCGGGCGCACAATGATTCTGAGTGCCGTCGAGTGGTGCATCTTCTACGGCGACTCTTTCCTGCGGCTCGCTAGCTTCTGGCCGCCGACGATGCCAGCTATGACTCCTCCTCCTCCTCTTCTTCTTATTATTATTCGTATTATTCTTCTCCTTCTTATTATTATGTTTATTCCTTGTGTTTGTCTTAGTATTATTAGTAGTATGCTTATTCGTATTCTTATTCTTATTCTTCATTTTATTATTATTATCATTATGTTTATTATTAGTATTATGCTTCGTATTATTATTCTTATTATTCTTATTCTTATTAGTATTCCGCTTATTCGTCTTATTCGTAGAATTAGTATTCTTCTTATTATTATGCTTATTATTAGTATTATTCCTCTTCGTCTTATTATTCGGATTCGTCTTCGTCGTATTCGTCGTCTTCTTCTTCGTATAAGTCGTCTTCTTCTTCTTCTCCTACTCCTCCTCCTCCTCCTCCTCCTCCTTCGTCTTCTTATTATTATTCTTCTTCTTAGCATTCTTCTTCTTATTATTATTAGTAATATTAGTATTGTTACTTTTATTATTATTATAATTATAATTAGTATTATTATTATGTTTCCTTCTCTTCCTCTTCTTCATCCTCCTCCTCCTCCTCCGCCTCCGCCTCCGCCTCCGCCTCCTCCTCCTCCTCCTCCTCTTCCTCTTCCTCTTCCTCTTCCTCCCTCCTCCTCCTCCTCCTCCTCCTAGCCCTCCTCCTCCTCCTCCTCGTCCTCCTCCTCCTCCGCCTCCGCCTCCGCCTCCCCTCCTCCTCCTCCTCTGCGTGTATGTATGTTCATCCTTCCCTATCCGCCCTCATTCCCCCCTCCTCCTCCTCCTCCTCCTCCCGCCTCCTGCAAAGGAAGACCTCCTCTCCTCCGTCCTCCTCCTCGTCTTACTCCTCCTCCCTTCCTCGTCTTACTCCTCCTCCTCCGCCTCTCCTCGCTCCTCCTCCTCCTCCTCCGCCCCTCACTCCTCCTCCGCCCTCCTCCTCCATCTTCCTCCTGCCCTCTTCATCCTCCACCTTCCCCCCTCCTCCTCCTCCTCCTCCCTCCTCCTCCGCCTCCTCCTCCTCCTCCTCCTCCTCCTCCTCCTCCTCCTCCTCCTCCTCCGCCCCCTCTTCCTCCCTCCTCCTCCTCTCCCTCCATCCCTCCATCCTCCATCCTCCTCCTCCTCATCCCGCCTTCTCCTCATCCTCCTCCTCCTCCTCCTCTCCGCCTGCCTCTTCCTCCGCCTTCTTCCCTCTCCTCCTCCTCCTCCCTCCTCCTCATCCTCCTCCGCCGTCCTCCTCCCGCATCCTCCTCCTCCTCCTCCTCCTCCTCTCCTCCTCCTCCTCCTCCTCCTCATCATCATCATCATCATCATCATCATCAGCATCACATCTCACATCATCACATCAGCAATCAGCATCTCCATCATCATCATCATCATCATCATCATCATCACTCATCCTCATCATCATCAGCATCATCATCATAGTCATTCCTTCCCCATCTCATCATCATCATCATCATCAGCAGCCTCAGCATGCATCATGCTCAGCATCAGCATCAGCATCAGCATCATCATCATCATCAGCATCATCATCATCATCAGCATCAGCATCATCATCATCATCATCAGCATCATCATCATCCTCATCAGCATCATCATCATCATCATCAGCAGCATCATCATCATCAGCATCATCATCATCATCAGCAGCAGCATCATCATCATTATCAGCAGAAGCATCTGCATTATCCTCATCCGCCTCCTCCTCATCATCCTCATCATCCTCCTTCCTCCTACTCCGCCCTTATCCTCCCTCCTCCTCCTCCTCATCATCTTCCTCCTCCTGTTCCTCCTCCTCATCCTCCTCCTCCTCCTCTTCCTCCTCCTCCTGCGCCCTTCTCCTCCCTCTTCCTCCTCCCTCTTCCTCCTCCACCTGCTTCTCCGCCTCCTCCTCCTCCTCCTCATCCTCTCTCCTCCTCCTCCTCCTCCGCCTCATCCTCCTCCTCCTCCGCCTCCTCTCTCCTCCTCCTTCCTCCTCCTGCCCTCCTCCTCCCTCCTCCACCGCCTCCGCCTCCGCCTCCCTCCTCCTCCTGCTCTCCCTCCGCTTCCTCCCTCCTCCTCCTCCTCCTCCCCTCCTCTCCTGCCTCCTCCTCATCCGCTCCCTCCTCGTCATCCTCATCCTCCTCCTCCTTCCTCCTACTCCGCCCTCCTACCTCCTCCCTCCTCCTCCTCCTCCTCCGCCTCCTCCTCCTCCCCTTCCTCCTCCTCCTCCTCCTCTCCTCCTCCTCCTCCTCCTCTCCTTCCTCCTCGTCCATCCTCCTGCTTCCTCATGTCCTCCTGTGCCCTTACCCTCCCTCTTCTCCTCGCCTCTTCCTCTCCACTTCTTCTCTCCTCCTCTCCTCCTCCTCCACCTCTTCTCCTCCTCTCCTCCTCCTCCTCCTCCTCTTCCTCCTCCTCCTCCTCCCCACTCCGCCTCCTCCTCCTCCTCCTCATCCTCCTTCGCCTCCCCTCCTCCTCCTCCTCCTCCTCCTCCTCCGCCTCCTCCTCCTCCCCGCTGCTTCCTCCTCCTCCTTCTCCTCCTCCTCTTCCTCCTCCCCCTCTTTCCTCCTTTCCTGCTCCTCCTCACTCCTCCCTCCTCCTCCTCCTCCTCCTCCTCCTCCTCCTCCTCCTCCTTCGCCCGCCCTCTCCTCCTCTCTCCTCCTCTCATCTCCTCTTTCTCCTTCTCCTTCTCATTCTCCTTCTCCTCTCTCCCTCCTCCGCCTCTTCTCCTCCTCCTACCTCCTCCTCCTCCTTCCTCCTCCTCCGTTCCTCTCCTTCTCCTCCTCCTCCTCCCTGCTCATCCTCCATATTCATATTCCTCCTCCTGCCCTCCTCCCTCCTCCTCCTCCTCCTCCTCCTCCTCCTCCTCCTCCTCCTCCTCCTCAGCATCCGCCTCCGGAGCGGTGCGGCTGTAAGCAAAAGCTGCTCCGGGCAGAAGCGCTATCTGGTGCGGTACATGCTGGCAGCTGCGCGCGGCGCGACGGCGCCAGCCTGCGTGCCTGGGCCTGGCCCCGCAGCGCCCTCCGAAATCCAGGTCACTCCTGGCGAAGGGTCACTCCCCAGACATGATCGCGTCTCTTTTCTTTTTATTTGCTTCTACACAACGAACAGGAGGTTTTTGCCCACTTTTGGCCTCCGGGGGCTCTCGCCGGGCCCCAGGACCGTCAAAAGACGACTCGGCATGAAAAACCGGCCCCAGGGAAAGGGTCGGGACTCGTCGCATGTCTAGGTTTAGGAAGGGCATGTCCCCCTCTACAGGCGGATATTGGAGGACAAATAACACATATTCCATAAATACCTAAAAATGATCAAAGATAGTCGGAAAATCGTCCCCGTACCATTTGTTGACGATGTTTGAGTCTCCCTCCTGTGGAGGGAACGGGCCCGATTTAAGTCTAGGTCTTACGTGCAGCCGATCGACGCCCCCAAAAGTAGGGGACGAAGAACAAGTATAAGCTTAACTGTTCCGCCGCCAGGGACGCCTGCCCCAGGGCGGCTGAACAGTTTATACCCTTTTGGTGGCACGTCGGGGTATAAACCAGACCAGCCGCCCCGGGGCAGGCGTCACCTACGTCACCTAACGAAGGCCCCTTTATGTTTAGAGGCTGCTGGGCCGAGGGGACCCCGGAAAATCTGCCATGAGGAGGGGATGCAGCCAAGTCTGCTCAAAATCGGTACCCAAACCCCTCTGGGGGTCCACCTGGTGCAACGTTTTATCCTGGATCCGTCTCTAACGACCCCGGAACCCGAAAACGGCCTGGGGGGCGGAAAATGCAAAAACCTTCCCGGGGAAGCAGAACCTCGAACCTGCCCCCCCCATCCTGGGCGGAACCCGTGCTGGGCCACCTCAGAGACCCCCACCTGACGAGGAGGGGATCGACTGCAGAAATGATTTACCACACCAAATGTTGTTCCTCGAATCCAAGAATAGCATGCCCCTCTGCGCATCCTTGACAGCCTCGACGGATAAACAATGCTGGGGACAATCAATTCTGCGGCCGATCTCCTACTCGAACCTCGGGGGTTGCGAGAAGTGCCCCTGGCCCAAGGTGCCCCCAGCTTTTCGCTCCATCTTGGAGCCCCTGGGCCCTCTGGGCCTCGCGAGGGGTGCCCTGGAGGCCGTCCAGGCTACCCCGAGAATCCTGGGGGTACCTTGGGCCAGGGGTACTTCTAGCAACACCCGAAAATAGACGAGCGCACTCCACTGCTCGCAAAGTAACTACTCGCAAATGACCTGGATCCGCCGCGGGGATCCACGCTAAACTACATAGAAGCAGACATGTGCTTTTCGGACGCTTGCGAGTAGGCACTTTGCGAGCAGTGGAGCGCGCTCGGTGAGAGAAACATTCCCCCTCTTGAGCAGGGACCGACCGTCCCGGCATTCCTACAGTCCTACCACGAAATATTCTTAGAACCCAAAAACGTTCTAACAACAAGAACGATGTTCTTAGAACATACGCCCGATATGTTGCAACAGGACAGCCCCAGCCAGAAATGGTCTAAAAACATTTCGTGGGAACCACCGAACAGGCTCTTGGAACATTGTTTGGTAGGACTATAGGCACGCCAGGATGCTTCGCCATTGCTTGACCCTCCCCTCCTCAGAGGATGCCGGGCCGAATTCTCGCGTGCGGCGAGGCGCCCGGCAGCGCCTGCGGCTCGTCCCCGGAGCCCCGGCGCGCCGCGAGCGCCTCGGGAGGCTGCGCCCTCCTCCTCCTCCTCCTCCTCCTCCTCCTCCGCCGCCTCCTCCGCCTCCTCCTCCTCCTCCTCCTCCTCCTCCTCGCCACGAACGGGCTCGCCGACCTATAAGGTCGGGAGCGACCCGAAAACCGGAGCCCCTCCGAAGCCCAACGCGGTCCTTGTCTCAGCGCCTCGGGCTCGGATTCCGCCGCCGAGTCTGGCAACACCCGACCTGCAGGCGGAAGGCCTTGTGCCTGTTTTTCTGTGGATTCGGGCAAGTTTACTTGCATGGACGGGGGGGGGGGGCTGAGTCTGAAGCAAGCCGCCGAAAACAATTCGACGTGCGGAGATCACGCAAGTCGAAAGGCACTTGCACGCTCGTGTTCGATTGAAGAGGGGCGAGGGGGGAGAGGGGGGGGGGGGGGGGGGGGGCGAACGCCATGCAAGTAAGCTTGCCTGGATCTGAAGAAAAACAGGCTCCTTGCGGCCAGAATCGGCTTGCTCCTTGCTGGAGCTTGCAGGTCGGGTGTTGCCAGAATCGGCGGCGGAATCCGAGCTCGAGGCGCTGAGACAAGGACCGCGTTGGGCTTCGGAGGGGCTCCGGTTTTCGGGTCGCTCCCGGCCTTATAGGTCGGCGAGCCCGTTCGTGGCGAGGAGGAGGAGGCGGAGGAGGAGGAGGACACGCCCCGGCGGGCCAGGGCCGAAGCAGGGGCACGGGGGCCCCACGGCCAGGGGGCCCGGCGGCGGCCACTGGGGGGCAGCCAGCCGAGAGGGGGCTCCCCGTGGGGCCACGCAGCGCTGCGCACCGAGGGCTTTGGATAAGCAGCCCTTGCGTAAGCTGATTTTTTTTTAAATATATATATATATATGTCTACATATATATATATACACATCTCAATATATACATATATATACATTTATATATATATATATGTATATATATATATGGATAAGGAACCCTTGAATAATGTGATTTATATATAACTATATATATATGTATGTATGGCCAATTTGGGCTTGGCCGTAGATATCACCGTAGCCCTCCTGAGGTAAGGGATCCTCCAGGGTCCGAGGCCTCCCGGGCGCATGCCTTGAAGAACGCCCCCCCCGCATTGGGAAGGGGGAGGCGCAGGCGGCCGCGACCACTGGGGCTGTCGGTGGAGGTCCGTATGGCGCCACGAAACGCAACCCTGGATGGGGGGGGAACGCATGTGGGCCCTCCCACGGGGGGCAACTGAGCACAAGGCGAATAGCCCCTGTGCCACGATGGGAGGGCCCAACGGAAGAAAACAGGGGCAGCTGAGGGCAAAGGCCTTCCGGCGGAACGAACGAACGAATGAACGCCAGATCCGTGCGCACGCCGCGTGGGCGCCCGCACGCGCCAGTTTGGGCGTGGCGGTGGAGGCCGTAGCCTCGATGCGGAAAACATCTGGTGTGTCTGAGGAACATGCAATGCGGTATACATAAAAAGTATAAAAGGAGGGAGGGGGGGAGAGATCTTTGGAACCGGTGTCGGCGCTGAGCAGCAGAGCTCCCAGCAGACAGGGATCACGAGGGGCGAGACGAGATGGGAGGGGCCCAGTGGGCGAAACCCTATGGACGGGGTCTATGGGCGGGGCCTCATGCAACTACGCAGTACCAGAGGCCTCGACAGACCGCCAGGCTCGACAACTTGCCTCAAGGCCAATCTAAGAATACTGCAAACACGCTGGGAGTCAAATCTGACACCTATATGTCTGGGAACCAGAATCACAAATCCACACATCTCGTTGTATGCGGGTACGCTGCGCATGCATCTATATGCATATATGTCGGCGGTGCCCCGTGGCACGAAGCACCCCCCCCCGCCTTCCCGGGGGGGTTCGTACAGGGCGCACCGGGTGCCGCCGACGACCTGGAACCCCCCCTCTCCCTCTTTCCCGGGCGGTTTTGTACCGGGCGCAGAGGCGGCCCCCCCCCCCCGTGGTAGTGGGGCGGTGCTGATCTCAGGGCCCGGGGAGGCCTTGGTATGACTATTTCAGTTGTGCACGTGCGTGTTGATGCTGCAGCATTTTGGCTTGCCACAGGAGTGGAAAAGAGGGTGCAGGCGCTCCCTCCTCGAAGCCCAATCTGCATTGGTAGAGCGGAGCGTGCCGCGCGATAGCAGGCGCTGTCGCACCGGGAGGCACTCAGGCGAGTGCCGGCGGGACGCCATAAGAAGGTGATGAACACGGACAACGGGGGCCCCGGCGGCGCGATCAGGAGGTTCGCCGGGAATGGAGCCAACGCTTTTCGGGACTACCGATCCTGAAAGAAATGGGCGCGGGCGTACCTCATCGTGCAGAAGGCGAAGGGGACGCCTGCGACGGCCCTAGGGCCGATGCTTTTCACGCTGTTAGACGACGTCGCCGCCCGAGCGCTGGAGGTTGTCGACGTGGACGATCTGGAGCAAGAGGGCGGCGAGCAGCACATTTTCGAGACACTCGATTCACGCTTCCCCGACGTGGCAGCCCACGACCGGCTCGGAGAGGCGCTGAAGGAGGTGTTCACGATTCGCCTGGCCAGGGGCGAGTCGATGGCGGCCTACTGTGGACGCGCTCAGGCGGCGTTCGCCAAAGGCGAGACTGAAGGCGTGGTGCTGCCGGACATGGCGCGCGGGTACCTGCTGCTGCTGGGTGTGCACCTGGCGCCGCAGAACCTCGCGGTCGTCCTGGCGGCGTCGGGCCGATCGTACAAGGAGAAGGACGTGGCGATGGCGCTCAGGACGACCTACCCCAACGGCTTGGCGGATTTCGGCCAGCAGTCGAAGGCGTTCGGAGCGCACGTGGCGAAAGAGGAGGCCGACGAGAGCGACGACGTCGCGGACATCACGGCGCTGCTGGCGGGCTTCGACGTGATTGAGGATACCGAGGACGGGGACATCCTGGACGAGAGTGAGGCCATCGAGATACTGGTGTCCTGGCGCGATCAGCGCAACAAGATAACGAAGGAGCAGCTGGCTCGGGGCTTCGGTCCGAAGAAGCCGGACACGAAGGCGATGGCGAAGCGAGTGCGATGCTACAACTGCGACGAGGTCGGTCACTTCAGCAGGGACTGCAAGAAGCCACCACGTCAACGCCGTCCGCCGCCACGGGACCACAAGCACAAGGGCAAGGACGGCGAGAAGCGCGGCGACGTGGTCACGGTCCTCGAGAGCGACTCGGACGAGGGCGTCTTCGTGGCCGGCGACGGCAAGACCGAGGACGTCGACGAGGAGGAAACCTTCGAGTGCGACGTGTGCGAGGACGAGTTCCAGCGGCCCCTGCACGGCGGCGGCTGCAGCGACGACGACGAGTGCGACTGCGAGCTGGCGGTCGACGAGGAGGACGAGGATCAGGACATAGACGACCTGTACGAGGCGTACACGGCGGCGAGGGACGACATGGATGACGTGATCGAGGCGTACCGCAGGCTGACCGCGATGCCCAAGGACGAGGACATGCCAGAGGTGCTGACGGCGTCAGCTCACGAGCCGGGGTCGGGCGTGGTCGACACCGGGTGCGGCAAGGGAGTCATCGGCGAGAAGACTCTCAAGGAGCACAAGGTGGAGATGGAGAAAGCAGGTCTCGCGGTGAAGACGATCAAGCAGACGAAAGCGACGACCTTCCGCTTCGGCAACCAGGAGACACTGGAGTCGATCTACACCGCGGAGATACAGTGCCGAGTGGGCGGTCGCCTCTTGGTGCTCCGCCTGTGCGTCGTCCCAGGCGGGACCCCGCTGCTGGTTAGCAAGCCCATGCTCAAGGCCCTCGGCGCGCAGCTGGACATGGAGCGGGACGAGATTCGGTTCGCCCGGATCAACGTCACGGTGCCGCTCCGGGTCGCGGCCAGCGGCCACTACCAGCTGAACCTGTGCGAGATGACGAACGAGGGTGGCAGGAGGATCCAGACGGCTGAGGTCGACGTGATGGTGACGGCGGAGCAGGACGACGGGCTGACAGCGGAGGAGCAGCAGGAGCACGAGGAGTTCGTCGCGGCGGCGTCGTCGGGTTTTCGCTAGGGCCGAGCCGGGGCCCTGAGGCTGACGGCGACTGGGACGACACCGACGTCCTGTGGTCAGAGGGCGTTACCGATATCATGAGTCGGCGGGCCAAGCGGACGGTGGTCAGGGGTGTTCTCGAGGCGCAGGCCCGGCTGGGCCGCCGACCGAAGTGCCTGGAGATCTTCTCGGTGCCGCGGGTGACCCCCGTCCTAGAGTCCATGGGGTTCCAGAGCCTCGGTGCGTTCGACTTACAGAACGGCTGGGATGCCCGTCGAGCGGCCGACCGCCACAAGATCTTACACATGGTCGACGTCGAGGAGCCGGAGTTTGTGGGCATGAGCCCTCCATGCGGCCCCCTCTCGATTTTGCAGAACCTGACGGTGGCGGAAGTGCGACGGGACCCGGAGAAGTATCGCCAGGCAGTCAGGGAGGCGGTCGGGTACCTGAGGTTCTGTGTGGTGGTGGCTCGGATGCAGATCCGAGGAGGTCGCTACTTCGCGCTCGAGGCACCGCCGACGGCGAGATCCTGGGACTGTGCTTCGGTTCTGGGCCTGTGTCCGGTGGCGGGAGTGCACCGCGTGTCGGTCAGTGGGTGCCAAGTGGGTCTGAAAGATCCGGTAACAAAGAAGCTGATGTCCAAGGAGTGGTGCTTCGCGACCAACGCGGACACGCTCAAGTGGACGCTGAAGGAGCTGCGCTGTCCTCGAGATCATGAGCATCAGTGGTGCTGGGACAGCTCGAAGGGCACCAAAAGAAGCGCGTTCTCGGAGAAGTACCCGGAGGACCTCTGCAGGAAGATAGCTGGCGCAATGGCAAGTCAGCTGGAGGTGGACTGCGTCTCCCAGACGGCCGACGTTCTGACGACGACCGACGACGATGAGGTCATCAAGCGGCGGAAGCTATCGCTCGAGGCGTCCCTCAGGAGGTTGCACGCTAACCTCGGCCACCCGAGCAATGAGGACATGGTCAGGATCCTGAAGCACGCCAAGGCGAGTGAGATGGTGTTGGCCC